CGGATTCACTCCCCGCCTCTCGACGCGTTAGTGTTCTGAGCTGTTGGACGTGAATCCCTGTCCTGGCATTTGGTTTTCACCTCTGGCTGCGTTGAGTAGTTGAGTTACTGTGACCAAATGCCCATCTTGGTAGTTAGTATTCGCCTCTGGTTGCGTTGAGTAACTGAGTTACCGTTGCTAACTACCCATGTTCTTTTGTTTTCTTTTTCCTTTTTCTTTGTTCTCCTGAAGAAGCTACATACAATTGTAGCGAAACGTCGAGATGAACCCACTTTTGGGTCACTCACAAATGACACGGTCCAAACCCGGAAGACGAATAAACTATAATTCTGACTCTGGCCGTGAAAGCCTACGATTCAACAAATTAATTACCTAATTTTCAATTTCTTCATGAAAACGTCTAAAACAATTTTCTAAACACAATCCCAGATATTCAGAGCACTCTGCACAAAAAAAACAATAAGTCCCTTCTTTCTTTTTTAGCTTGCCAGCAATATTTACACCATCGTCGTTTTGTAATAATCATTAGCTGATTTAGGGCAATGGGATGGCAAATGAAACGTCAAATTTTTCTTGACTTTAATGATTTTTGGGTTCGGTCCCAAAAGACTATCAATCACCGACAATCGAAAATTGCACAATGAAATTTTTGTATTAGAATTATTATAGAAATAGTATGCGTTGATTAGCATAATTTAAAAAATATGTATGCCTATTTTTTTGTACTACCTCATAGTTTTGTGTTCGCAACTATAATAATTTAACATCTGGTCGCCTAAGTCAATGCCACCTTTGTTCTCGCTGTTCAAAGATCTCGCTGATCTTTCCATTTCCACACACATATCCCTCTATTATTGTAAGCACTCACTAGTTGATTTTGTTTCAATTTTCGAGAAACAACCTCGTATGGATTTTCCCCTCTTCCTGTTTTCAACGTTCCTGTAAGATAAGTTTTAACCGAAAGTAGTTTTTTACACAATGGAACACTAGTATAAAAACTATCTATATATAAAGAGTGACCAACATTTAGTTTCGAATCCATCAAATTTAGCACTACTTTTTCCGTATGATTACTTCCTCCAACTACGGGGTTACTAGCTCCACTATAAACTAATATGCGTTGAATCATCCTGGTACATTCTGCCAAAGTATACAGTTTACCACCATATTTGTGTCGTTTGCCATTGAAAAATTGACGAAAACTAAGTCTTCCTCTCCATAAATTAATAAATTCGTCCGGGGCTAATTTTATTTCTGGATAATAAAGATTCTCCATTTTATTATTAAAATAATTCTAACAATGGAGATATCTTGGCCAGTCTGGACTGGGTATTGTCACTATTATTGTTTAAATGTAAGGAATACTAAATGAATGATTTTTCTTCCAATATTCATTCATACGATTAATTTTATGATTTCCATGTGAAACAATAAACCAAGAAAAAATTTAAATTCTTATACAAGCTGCAATTCTACTTTTCTCAGATTTACTTTAAGAAATAATATCAACGGCATATAAATTGCTATTTTGTATAATCAAGTCATAGAATAATTCACATTCCAATAAATTGAAGTGATCAGTAGAATTGCTGCCACCCATATTAATTTTCAATCCTGGTATTGCTGGTAGCACTGGAGGATGTTGAACCTATGAAGACCATTCAATAATATTTTGAGACTCATCATCACCATCATCTTGAGATTTTCCTTATAAATTAGGATCGTCTGTCCGATCATGTTCATCATAATATAAATCTTCATCACTTGCGTCACTGTCGTCATGTGAATTTTCTAATATGTGTAATAATTTATCATCTGATATTGGCTGAGAAGTTTACCACCTAAGTTCGGCCCTGAATGAGATACCGAAAGGCGTTTATTTATAAATCGTTAAGTGACAATTACATGAAATACCAGTAAGTGAACACATCATATTAGTTTTCATTAATATTACGTGATCAACCAGTTTTTTGTTGATTTGTAATTTAACAATTATCAATAAGATACGACTGAAGAAATATTATTTCAGTTTTATTACCTGTTTGATTACTAGTCAGGTCCGTATTATTTCTAAACACATGTCCCGTGTTAAAATCAAAAATGGAACCTAATATTCAGAGTCTCTCTAACACACCACATGTATTGCAATCACAGACAAATACAAATAAAACATATTCATCAGCAGCTTCTACACAATTTCCCTCAAAACATCAAGCAATTGTCTTCGGCGCTTTAGAAAATACGCGACTGCAAGATTACTTAATTCCTTTGGGCTACCTAATTCGTCCCAAAAATATTATATTTTCCTCCCGACTATCCAATAATCGGATTTGCATGTACCTTGCAAACAAACAAGTCGTGGACGAATTCATGCAAAATCATGGACAAATAGAAATCCAGAACAATATTGTACAAGCTAGAAGATTAATCTCACCAGCAACACGTATTGTTTTTTCAAACGTATGTCCAACAATACCACACAGTCTGTTAGTTGAATATCTACAAAATATTGGACTTAATATGGTCTCTCCTGTCACTTTCCTAAAAATTAGTTCCACTCTTTCCGAATATAATCATATTTTAAGTTTCAGAAGACAAATATATGTCAGTCCACATAATATCTCCTTACCCGACTCATTCACCTTAGACTTCGATAATACAACATATCGAATATTCTTATCTCAAGAAACTATGGCCTGTTATAACTGCAAAAAGTCTGGTCATATCGCCACCAACTGTCCTGATAAACTAGAATCAACAACAAACTTAATTGATTCTAATAAGAGTCAATCTACCACTTCTTCCTCCCCTGACATCATGCCTCAACCTGCAGCAACATCCATATCAAACGAACAAATGTCCGTCCAAGGAAAATTAGCAAACAATCTGAGCAATCCTAACATTGCTAATGGTCAAGAAGAAGTTAACAACATGGAAAGCTGCAAAGTAATTAATATCGATCTCCAGCCGAAACGTAGTATCAATGATGTTCTTACGTCTCCAGAAACAACTTCTGAAACAACAGAAAAATCATTTGCTGTACCTACATCCAAACCTAGAGTCAAGAAAGTTAAAAGCAATGAGGAGCATACATGCATAAAATCAACAAAATATTATGACCTTGAGCCTGCCAAAGATTTTATCCAAAATCATTTACCCACATTTGTCCTCAATTTTGACCAATTAAATCTACTTCTAAGCAATGTTAGCGGCGTGCAGGATCCTTCTAACATAATTCAAGAGTTTACTTCTGACCTTGTGGGATTAGTTCGTATTCTAACTAAAGTTCATCCACAATTAAAAGATAGATCAACCAAACGTCATATCACCTTAAGAAAGAAAATCCTCCAACACTTTCGTAACGACATCTCTGAATCCGAGGGCGAGTCATCTCAGGATAACCCGTAAATTCATATTTTTTCTTATATAATATAATTCACTAAACTACTGCAATGGAATATAGATGGATTTTTCCATCGACTTCCCAATCCAGATCTAATTCTCCGTCAGCATTACGAACATTGCTATAAAATATTTACAGATGCATCTAAGTGTGATGAACGAGTAGATGCTGCATTCGTTACTCCAAACGATACATACCAATTTCGTCTCCCAACCTTCTTTTCGATTTTCTCCGCTGAACTCTATGCAGTGTTTAAAGCTATCATACATATAAATTCTAATAACATTCCTAACTCTGTTATCTTAAGTGACTCACTAAGCGCCCTTCAAACCCTTAAACAGATCTATCCTAAAGGTCCCCTTGAGAAACTGATAAAACTAGAACTTATGCAAGCTCAAGAAAATTCTAGGAGTATCAGATTTATATGGATTCCATCCCACATTGGCATTGCTGGCAACAAAAGTGCGGACGAGTGCGCGAGTGAAATTGCTAAATGTGCCAATATAGAAAAAGCCGAGTATCGAAATACCGCGAGTGATATAAAAGCCTTTATAAAGAATCGAGTTTTGTGCAAGTGGAAAAATGAATGGCAATCTTCTCAAACATCACTGAAGCAAATTAAAAATGACGTTCCAGCTTGGAAACCCTCAACAAGGAGCAGAAGAGAACAATTGGTGATAACGAGATTACAAATTGGACACACCAGACTTACTCACTCATACTTATTTACCAAAAGTGATCCACCTATTTTGCGAAACATGTAATGTACAATTAACCATTAACCATTTATTAATCGAATGCCATAGATTTGCCAATTTTCGTGTTACATTTAACATACCTAAGTGTTTAAGTAATTTATTAGGCACTAATTTCTCAGCTAGTAATATTGTAAAGTTCTTAAAATCTATAGGACTATTTTATAAACTCTAATTTTGTAATTCTGTAGCCGCCCCTAATAACCATTATGGTGGATGCGGCTGTAATTTCTAAATAAAAAAAAAAGTTTACCACCTACCTCGTTAAGAAGTCGAAGTTTGGCAAAATTCATCACTCATTTTTAAAATAAGTTAAAATTGAAGTATATAGCCAAACACATGCAATGGCTCACAGCAAAACCAAAGACATCCAACACCGAAGGCGTAGAAAATATTACTGAATGCATAGCAAAATAAACCGATTTATTACTTTACAAACTTTTTTTACAGCTAATTTTGTTACTTTCGAGCATTGATTGAATATTTGAAAAGTAAGCAATGAAAGTGAGGATTTCATATTTTATCATCCAATTTATTAATGGGACAGAAGAGATTTGTTATAATATGTAAAAAATCCGCCAAAGATGCTTTACGTTATGCGTTTTGTTTTAAGTAAATAATTTTATTTATACTTCAGTCGTCAGAGACGAAAATGCCACTGAACCTTTAAAAATCATACGAGAAAGTAAATTTGACAATAACAGGAGCTAAAAATTGCGTCTGGATTATTTTCTTCTTTTCTTGTCGACAGTATGTTAAAGTTGGCATTTTCTATTCAAAAAAATTGTTAAAAACATAAACCTATACGAAAGATTTATTTAAAAGAAATAAATATTTATTTAGTAATTTATTTAGAAATTATTAAAATAAATAGAAAATATTATATTATTTTATCTCTTTTGCATGATTTTAAAGAACAACGCCTTTGTCTGCTGGCACTCCCTTAACATCCAAACCAGTAACCCGAAAGACACATCCGTGGATTTCTTCCATATTTCCTTGAATACCTGCTGAAGTTACATACAACTCATCCAGTTGTTTTCCTCCAAATGTAATAGAAGTTATCTAAAAATAATTAATATTGTTATTTGTTTCGAGATTTTGCTTAAATCATTAGTTAAATAAATTTCTATTAAAATAAAACAACTAGTCATACAGTGCTTTTCAGATAAAAATATCCATCTTAAATAACTTTTGAACCTCTAATTTTTTGGAAAAACGCAAAAACACGTCAATTAATATCTGAAGGGGGAGACATAATATCATATTAAAGGTTGCTGGAAAATGCACCATCTCACCCCCTGTATCAACCATTTATTTTTTTTAAATTACTTCCCCCTTTTTTGTTTTATATTTGGATTCTCCTTTTTGTTCTGATTTCAAAAATGTATAATACCTTTGGCTTGAAGTGATTAGTTTATCAGATAGACAATTTTCCTGTTAACAAGACAGTATCCTCCTCACCTTAATTGACTCTAACAAAATAGGTTGTAGCATAATTTAAACTCTTTAAATATTTAACCGTACTATTTGTAGTACCTTTAAAAACCAAGAAACAAAAAAATTCACTTTTTATTCAAGTTTTATCAAAGGTTTTCGATATCATTTTTACATTTGTTTTAATCGGTTAATAGCGACAATTTGTTATACAACTTGTAAGTAACAGCTTATTTTGATAGGTGTGCAATTTGATCGCTGAAATAGTGTACACTTTCAAGAAAGAATCGAAATTGTAGGTTTATACTACAAAAATAATAATTGTGCAAGAGCTGCTGCTAGAATTTTTAATGAAATACACCACAATAGACATGCAACTCATAAGTGTGTGATTGAACTGATGCAGAAATAATTAGACCAAGAGGGTCAGTTTGCAATAAAAAACATAACCGACAGGAACTTGTAAATAAAAAAGCAATCCAAGTAGCTGTTTTAGGACAAGTTAACTTAGACTCTTAACAATCACAGTCACTGTCAACAATAAGCAGAGCAATCGGTGTTTCATCTTCTACAGCCTTCCGAGTCCTCCATAAATTTAAGTTTTATTCATATAAAATTAAATTAGTACAAGAGTTAAATGAAGAAGATTTTGATCATCATCCCGAATGTTGCGAATTAATGATAAAATGCATCATTAACAATCCACAATTGTTAAACAATATTTGCTTCTCGGATGAATGCTCATTCTCATTAAACGGTTTAGTGAACAGATATAATTGCCGATACTGGGCTGAGAGTTATCCACATATTGTACGCGAATTTCACACACAGCATCCTCAAAGGTTAAACGTATGGTGTGGTATCCTACGTAATCACATTATCGGACCCTTGTTTATCACTAAAAACTTAAATGGTGCATCGTATCTTGAATTATATAGGCAAGTGGTTGATCGTTAGAACAGTAGTAGCAAATGATGATAGACTTTCCGATGATTTGGTTGTATTTCAACATGATGGAGCTTCTCCACACTTTGCTTTACCTGTGCGATAATTTTTAAACGAAACGTTTCCCGGTCCTTGGATAGGTAAAAGACCACAGATGATCGATTGGCCACCTAGGTCACCGGATTGAACATTAGACTTCTTCTTATGGGAGTATTTAAAAACAAAAATTATGCTACTCAACCAGAATATCTAGATGATTTACAACAAAGAATAGAGGATGAATGTCGAATTAAATGCAGACGTGTTAAGCAATGTCAGAGAAGAATTTCAAAATAGATTGTACTATTGTATGGAAGTGAAAGGCAGTCATTTTGAACAATTATTGTAAAAATTTTTAGTAGTGAAATGTTTGTTCTAAATGTATGTAATAAAATTGTTAAAAAATAATTTTTTTCAATCCGATTATCTTACTTTTGTCATAAACTAATTGCAAATTTACTTTTCTCATAAACTTCTCATCACTTCTCATCACTTCAAGTATCATGTATTATACATTTCTGAAATCAGTACAAAAAGGAGAATCCAAATATAAAACAAAAAAGGGGAAAGTAATTAAAAAAAAATAAATTGTTGATACAGGGGTTGAGAGGGTGCATTTTCCAGCAACCTTAAATATGATATTATGCCTCCCCCTTCAGATATCAATTAAAGTGTTTTTGCGTTTTTCCAAAAAAATAGAGGTTCAAAAGTTATTTAAGGTGGATAGTTTTATCTGAAAAGCACTGTATAAATTTATCAATTTTATTATAATATGAAATATAGGAAGTGCGTGAAGTATAGGAAGTTACGAAAACTGTTGCAATTTATAAAAGTACCCATTTCACTCAGCTATAAAATTCATATAAACAGCTGGTTTAAAAAAATTCTGGTTGTAAATGGTGATGCAAAACCAGGAAACGAACACAAGAGAAACTGTCACCTTGATAACTTTGAAAAATAAGCTGTGATAAAACACATCATCACATAAATTTTATTCGAAAAAACACCAGAGCTTAAAAAATATCCACGAATTTTCAGGAAGGCTATCGGAATTTAAGAATACTCTATTAATTTTAATTTTAAATAAAAGGATCGGCATCTAAAGAGGGCGTGGTATTAAAAAAAACATAAAATACAAAATTTCAAAGAAGATTATCAGTGTTCGAGAAAAAGGATACGAGGTCACGTTTAACTATGCTTTCAAGGCAGTTTTAAAGCCGGTATGTGACAGAACGTGAAGCGGCGTTTTTCATCGGCAAAGATAAATAGAAAATACATAATAGAAAACGATAAATCCTAGAGACGTGAACACACGCAACGTAGAATATTGTTTTTGACTTAATATATGTGGTTTACGATCCTTGGGATAGGGCAAAACTGTCTTTTACGGTAGACGCGTACTATCCCGTCGTTTGTCAGTAAATTAACACGGTTCAACGGAAGATTGGAAGCTGATGCATAGCACTTACTAACCCCTCTTGCCAATCGACGCGTCTAGTGTCTGCTACCATCAGCGTAGTGCTAATTTTACTGTCTTGGCTTGGCTTGGCTTGTGCCCGGCTCGATTATCGTTCATTGGCTATCAAATTGGCTATTTTATAAGCATTTTTTTTTAATTTCATATTCCTTGTATTATAAAATAAAGAATATTTAAAATACTCTAGTTTGCGATTTTTAACTGTTTACACTTACGTATCTTTTCTCATGCGCTGCAAAACTATCTTGTTCCGAACTTTATCTACACAACTTATTTACAGAATTCATCGATACACCTAGATTTCAAAGACTTTAGGTTTTCCTATGAAGGGTATATGTTAAAGTCGAACCTTCGACATCATATAAAAAATAGAGAACATCTTACTAATCCAATTTTCAGTCTCAAAGTAATTTTGTTTCTACATAAGATTTTCCTCATTTTAAAAAATGCCGTGGCGATCTCTATACGTATTCTAATTTCTTTGCTTATGTCCCAGTTCTCACTTAGATTACAGCCAAGATAAGTGATACTGTTGGTTTTCACCAGTTGTTCTCCATAATTGTTACCACTTATTTAACATCCGAATAGATGTTAAATATGCAGGCCTGTTCTACTCCTCTTCGTATTTAAAGCTCTTCAGAATTATCCTGGCCAATCCTTATATTTAAATGTTGATGTGAAGAAAGATAAATTAATGATAGGTAGGTCTTTATCATCAATACCTTTTACCATCAATTATTTTATTATGTTTTACTTGATTAAAGACCTTTTCAAAGTCAATAAAATAGATATAAACTGGATGGCTAATATCTCTGCATCTCTGTCCCATAACTTGAATACTAAATAGTAGTTCTCAGGTTCCAAGGTTTTTGCGAAACGCACACCACGTGTTACTAAGTTGCTCTTTTACTTTTTGGTACATTCTTGAGTGCAAAATTCAAAGAAATATTTTTAAAACGTGGCTCGTTAAGATTATGGTAGTCACTACATCTTTTCGCATTTGGTTTTTTAGATATCGTTACAGCAGTGAAGAGCAGCCAATCCGTTGGTATATAGCTTCTTCCTCTTCCTCTTCTTCTTCTTCGTTCTTGTATATAGGCTTTAAAACCTGTTTCTTCTTCAATATTAGCCTCCTAAATTGTTTAAATTATCGCACCATCTTTTTCTTGGTCTGACAATACTTTTTCGTCCATTTGGTGACTGATCTCGTGCTATTCGTACTATTCTATCCGCTACCATTCTTCTAATGTATTTATTCCACTCCTGTTTCTGTTTTGTTACCTATCCATTTGTGTCTTCTATATTGCATGCTCTTCTTATGTTTTCGCTTCTTTCCCTATCCAACACATTTTTCCCTGATATTCGTCGAAGTGTTTTCATCTCTGTTGTTTCTAGTAGTTGTCTCGTTTTATATGTGTCAGGTCTTATCTTCGCCGTGTATGTTAATATAAGTCTAACTGCTGCTTTATAGATTCTTGTTTTTGTGTCTTGCTTATGTGTTTGTTCTTCCAGTTTGTGTCATTAACAGATCCTGCTACTTTACTTGCTTGTAATCTTTGTTGTACTTCTTCTTCAACATCTCCGTAACTAGTTATATGTATTCCCAGGTATCTAAATTTCCCCATCAATTTCGATTTTACATTGTAGTGGGTATTTAGATGTTAGGTGTCATACATATAGGTGTCATACATTTGGTTTTTTCTGATGATATTATCATATTCTATTTCTTGGCTGTTGTATTGAAGATGTGTGTTAATCTTTGGAGCCATTGTGTAGCCATGACGTTTACGTACTGCTTGTAATATTTTGTCCATTATTATATTAAAGAGAAGTGGGTTAACGAGTCACCCTGTCTGACCTTGCTGTGTACTAGTATACACTGTGTTAGTTATTTATCTCTGCCTGTATTTGATTATGGAAGTAGATGTTTTCGATGGTTCGTATATTATTGATTTAAACCCTATGTCAGGTCTATAAAACATAGATATGTTGGTTTATTGTATATAGTCAGTTTCATAAATTTTATTAAAACTATGAAATAGAGATTTTTACCTGAACTTTCAAAGAGCTTTATTATTTCACTCGGTATTTCATCTCGTATTTGCTAATCTTATCGCTCGTTTAATTTCGGCCATAGTTATGTCACGTCCTGTCACTACTTTATTAATTTCAAGATCGGGCCTTTTATCATTAAACAGTTGCTCAATGTATTCTTTCCATCTGTTTGAATTTTTATATGAAGGGGTCTAACAAAGTTGTGTTGGAATTTTTATCTTTGTATAAATCACCTAACTTAACTAAACTAAACCTTCAATTTTGAGGGGACACGCAGTATCTGAATTTCAAGTGAATTTATCAAAAAGTAAATATATATTATTTTACAATAAAGTAGGTGCCAACCGTGTTCTCTTTTCTTTTCACTATTATCTATGTTCTATTTCTCTTGTAAGATGAGAACTAGCAAAAGCGCCTCTATAGGTTATTCCACGAATAAACGACTGTTTTGGATTATTGCGATAACGAATATTTTACTGTGCAAGTAGAAGTATAAAAGTAAATTGGTCTAAACAGTATTCCAATAAAATGAATCTACTGTTAGTTTGACACTTAAACTAGAATTATTTTAGTTAATAGATGTTCAGATCGACAGATTCGAATTTATTGTGAAATTTAATCGGAAAATAATAAAAAATTTTACGCAAACGGTCCTACAAATAAATATAATGAGTTCTAATGTGTTCATAAGATATTTGGGTTAGGTTTCCGTAAAATGTAAACACCAAAGAGGCGTGCCAAGTTTCTTTGATATGACACTATTTTATTACTTTATTAGGTACTACAACTGTAATAAAAAGAAATATACTATTTTTAATATAAATGAACAAAAATTGGTAGAACGGTGGTTCAGAAACCAGAAAAAGTATCTAATATTTCAGTTTTTTAGTTTTAAATATTTGTTTGCTTTGGGTGGATGTACACCTAAAGTTCCGAAAGTAACGGGTATAATATACCGGCTATTAATAGTTAAAGTATCGGGTCGTTACAGATATTAAAAAGTAACGATAATTTATATACAGTTGCATATATCGCCGACTGATTTTAGTTTTAAAAACCGTCAGCATAGAGGTGTTCGGTGAAGAGAGGTGCCGTTAAGAGAGAGATTAGTGTAGTGTATGTGTTTATTAAAGCCAAAAATGTCGAGACGTGTTTTAGATGTAGACAACTTTATATTTAATGTACTTTCTTATGGTGAAGTTCTGTGAATCTGATAGTTGATGATAGTAGTGGTTGAAGCAGGGTGATTTGGAGGAGTATACTCGTTTTGTAGCAGAAATAACTATAACCCTATAAAAAAGCTTAAAATAATCCTCGAGAAGGATAGAAAATTCGAACCGTAGTGTTAAATATTTTACATGTGACTCACTTGTGAGTTTGGAAATTGCAATATTTGCAACACAGTGTCCGATATTTTTGGATTAATTTTGTACACCCTTGAAGATTCAAAGATTGCCACCCATAGGTTTCCGTCTTTATCTAAGGTCATGCCACCACATATGGCATCGTCTTCAAATTCTGGATGGTTGGAAAGCGAGAAAATAACTTGCCTGTTTGCTAAAAATAACACATAAAATTTAAAATATCGTATTAAAGTATTTTTAATTTAATTTTGAGTATTATGTTATTAAATGACCTTATAATTCGTTCACAAATACTTGAGAGCACGAAATGGTATAGCTAACCCAAACACAAACGAACACTTAAAGAGAGGGAAAAAGCCTATTGAAATTGATGAATTTGCCAAAAATGGTATTCGAAGGAAAATTCATGGATTTTTTTTCAAAAAAGAAATAACAAACTTAAACAAAATTTTACAAGAAGTTAGAGACGACCCAGATTTGCCCCATATCGGAAGAAATAAATTGTGGCAAGTTTTAAAAGAATTAAATTTCCGGTGAGAGAAATCAGACCGAAAATCACTTTTGATTGACCGAGAGGAGATAATATGTCGGAGAAGAAATTATCTTAGATTTATACGAAAATTTCGGGCTGAAGGAAGGCTAATCTTCTACCAGGATGAAACGCGGGTAAACTCAGGTCATACTCTAAAAAAATTTGGCCACATAAAAATATATTCCCCAGAGAAATAAAAGGGGAAGGCCAAGAAAGAAATGGATATCCAATATTCATACAGAAATGGAAAATAGAGGTCTTCAATAAGGAGACTGGGCCGATAAGAAATTATGGCGATTGGGATGCGAGAAGCGACAAAATTAAAGTTGCAAACACTCGCTATATATATATATATATATATATATATATATATATATATATATATATAAATATATATATATATATATATATATATATATATATATAAATATATATATATATATATATATATATATATATATATATAAATAAATATATTAAGCTCCAGGCAAGTCTTTATGGAAGATTGGTCTACTGGTATCTCCCCACCTTCTGGTAAAGGTAGTAGATTAATAATTTCTCACATTGGCAGTGAAAAAGGATTTGTTAAGCATTAAAGGTTAAAGGTTTGTTGGAATTTCAGTCCAAAAGCACAAAAGACTATCGCGAAGAGATGACAGCTGATGTTTTCGAAGAGTATTTTGAGCAGATGATTGAACACATACCACCAAATTCAATTATTGTATTAGATAATGCACCTTATCATTCACGACTAGTAGAAAGACTTCCAACGACTGCGTGGAAGAAACAGGATATTCTTGACTAGCTGCGGAATAAGTATCTGCCTTACGAAGATGTAATGGTAAAAGTAGAACTTTTAAAAATTGCCGGCAACACAAATGTAAGTTCAAGAAATACGTACTTGACAAAATTACGGAAAGGCGAAACATCACAGTCCTTAGACTTCCACCCTACCCAAAAAGTTTTGTGGCTAGAAAAAATACGTCATATAAAATACAAGCTGTACGTGAATTGTTATACGAGTCTTTACAGAACATATTACAGAACAAAACTGGAAAGATGGAGTAAGACATGAAATAGAAGAAGAACAAAAAATGTGGGAGCTCGATAACATAATTGATGCGACCGTAGAGACACAACCGCTAATTATTAACCCTCAAGACGACTCGGATTCCGAAGTTGATCCTATTTATTTTGAATTTAAATAGTTTTATAATCGTAGTTATATAAGGTAAGTAATAGTAGTTGTAATCGTAAGGTATTAAAGGGGAAAGGCGCAAAATGTGGCCTGTCAAAATATTCAATGTGTTTTAAATGTATCCATTTTTTTTTCAAATCCTGAGAAAACTAAAAAGCATTTTTAAAAAATTTAAAGGCAGAATGAAATATTTATGAGAATAAATAAAAAGTTTCTTTTACATGCAATATTTTCAATTAAAAATTATACTATATTTTCTCTTTTATTTTCACCCTGTTACATAACATAATAAAATAAACCTTGTAAAAGTTTTCAGGGACTTTCTGCTCTCAGTAATAATGTAATCTTTCATTCTGAGTTTAAATTTTTTTTAAATATTTATTAGTTTTCTCCGGATTCGAAAATAATGGATATATTTAAAACACATTGAAAATTTTGCCAGGCGACATTTGGCGCATTTCCCCTTAATTAAATAAGTCTATTTTTTGTAAAAGTAACACAAATTAACTAAAAAATAAAGATAAAATATATATTATACCTACACAATGATCCGGTGTTGAAATCAATGTCGTATTGATCGATTCTTTGGCTTAGTGAGTCTGTATAATACATTTTCTTATTAGTATAATCAAAAGCTATACCATTGGAAATACCGATTCCTTGTCGATGGCACTTGACAACACCATCTTCATCAAAACTATAGAGCTTGCCTCTAAAATCTATACTTAGTGAGTAACATAGTAACAACATATGGTAGATAAAACATAATAATAGATGATACATCTATACAGGGTGGTCCTTAAGTAATTGTACAAAAAAAAACCGCAGATTCTACACTTTAAAATATTACGATTTAAGCCAACTTACTTTAATAAAATGTTGATATTAAAAAAGATACAGGGTGTTAAAGTGGAAAGATAAAATTTTATTTTTCGCTATAACTTTCACGTTTTTAAACATTTATGTATAAAAATTTACAGCTGGAGATTATTAAATATCAGAAATTAAAATTTGATGCATACTTTGATATAGCTAATAGAGGGCGCCACATATGCCACATACGTGGCATACATTTGCACGTAACTTTTTTGTTCTTCAAGTTACCGGTATTTTTGATAAAAAATATTAAAGATACATTATTTTAACAAAAAAAGGTATATCTGTTAATGACTTCAAAACTCAACAGTTTTCGAGATAATCGCATTTTACAAATCAACTGCATAATTCTGAATTACTCCAGGCAATGAATTTCGTTGCCTGGAGTAATTGCGATAAATCAGAATTATGTAGTTTATTTCTTAAATGCGATTATCTCGAAAACTGTTGAGTTTTAAAGATATTAACAAGTATACCTTTTTGTTGTTAAAATAATGTATCTTTAATATTTTTTATTATAAATACCGGTAACTTGAAGAGCAAAAAAGTTAAGTGCAAATTTATGCCACATATGTGGCATATGTGGCGCCCTCTATCAGCTACATTAAAGTATACATTAGATTATAATTTTTGATGTTTAATAGTACCCAGCTGTATATTTTTATACATAAATGTTGACAAACATGAAAGTTATAGCGAAAAATAAAATTTTAAATTTTCACTTTAACACCCTGTATCTTTCTTAGTATCAACATTTTATTAAAACAACTTGACTTAAATCGTAATATTTTAAAGTGTAGAATCTACGGTTTCTTTTTGTACAATTACTTAAGGACCACCCTGTATATCATTATAACTAAAAACATACAATAATATTAAATGAACTTACAAGAAATAGTTACGTCAATTAAATATTTTAAGAAATTATTTTAAGAGAAAGTAACAGAAAAATTGTAGCCAAAGTTACTAGTTTTAAAGTGTATTTGAGAGAATCTTTATATAGAGCCATCAACGAAAATCGTTATTGAGATGGTTATGGAATCATTTAAATATACGAATTGATAGTAGCCATAGACTTATACAAATAGACTGACTACTGCAATACAGCGTCGTTCTTCCAGTGCGACATGAAAGTAGAAAGTGCGGAAGATTAAAAAGTGGAAAATTACAAAAGCTTATGGAAAAAATTATGTTCATGTTGCGGCAAAGATGAAGTATACAGCATTGTCTGCTGTATAAAGTGTTCTTCTTCTTGATGTGCCTATCCGTTACGAATGTTGGCGATCATCATGACAATCTTTACCTTATCTGCAGCAGCGCGCAAAAGCTGCACAGATGTTGAATTAAACTTTTCACTGATTCTGAGGTTTTTTAACCAAGATGTTCTTCTTCTTCCCGGACCCCGTTTTTCAAATATTTTTCCTTGCAGGATGGCTTTAAGGAAAGCATATCTGGATTCATTTCGCATAATATGTCCGAAAATCTGTAACTTTCGAGATTTGATGGTGGTCAGTAGCTCTCGGTTCTTATTCATTCTTCTGAGGACCTCCTCATTTGTGACTCGGTCAGTCTACGGAATCTTAAGCATTCTCTGATATAGCCACATCTCAAATGCTTCCAGTTTTCTGCACATATCTTTGTTCAAGGTCCACGATTCAACACCATAAAAAAGGACAGAGAGGACGTAGTATCTCAGCATTCTTACTTTTGTATCAAGAGAGGGGTTGTGACTCTTGAAGAAGGCCCCCATCCGATTAAAGGTGGATCTAGCTTTTCCGATGCGTGCTCTAATCTCCTGGTTGTTGGTCCATTCTTCATTTATTATGTCAAAGGTAAAAATTTGTAGAGAAATGTAATTAGAAAGGCTGACACCACAGAGAAACAAAGGAACATAGAATGATGTTGGAAGAGAACTGATGTGAGATGGGTTCTAGTAGCTTGTTAGCATAATGATAGCATACGCTTTCAAACAAATATAATACATAAGCAGAAAAACAAGAAGTTGAATGCGAATGTTTCTAAAAAATGAATACATAGAAGTGTCGATACTTCGAGTATATTTGTTTAAACTTACTTACTTCCAGATACGCCATAGTCTGTAGTAGTGCCTGAAAAAAAATAGACTTAGACGAAGTTTTAAATCCAAATACTTTCTCATAAAAATATAAAACATCAATCTTACCTGCCCATAACCTTCCAGTTCTGTCAAATTTTCCGCTAGTAAAAAAGTTTACGTGATCGATGTCAACTTCGTAAAGTTTATTGATTGACTTTACTTCACCATCTTTTCTGTTCCAGTCCATAACTGCTATGGAATTGTTTAGTCCAATTATAAAACGATTTTTTCTATCTATCACTGGAATTATCATTGATATTTTATGGTTTTCTAAAAATAATATACATTAATATTTTTCTGAATCTATTTTCGTATGGCATTTTAATGTAATTTACTATTTTCTGATGGGAATAAGCCACAATTTAAGTTTAAAATAAGTTTATTTTTGGCGTTTTGATTTCCACTTTGAAAATTGTTCTCAAAATATAAAACAATAATAAGTTAAAGAAATTTTGTTTTTTGGAACAAAGAGAAAAATTCTTCTAACAATTTAATTTTATTTGACTCATTCATATTGAAAATTTATGTATCATCATCAAAGTAGATGTTTGAGATAATTAGTTTAGTATTAGTTTAAAATATGTAAAATTGACAATTTGCTTCGTTAGGTTGAATTTAAAAACTCTGGGAATTTATGGAAAGGTAATTATTGAGGTCTATTGTTTATTTTGGTTAACGAAAACAACAAAAAAAAAAGAAAGTTGAGCTATTTCTTTAGAAATTGGAAAGTTTGGTTTGTTTATGAAACTGCTAACGAATAAATACTTATCTAGGAGGAATCAGATGCACAGAAACCTGGAAACTGATAAAAAAATTGAGAAAAGAAAAGAATAAGAAAGTAATACAGAGCATAAAACCTGTAGACTGGGAAGAGTATTTTAAGGAAATGGTAGAGAATAGAGTCGAATTTTAAGAACATAGAAATCAAAACCAATATAGAATTTCAATAGTCGGCTCGCCAATAAGATTAACAACGGACTAAATTAAAAATGTATGTAAATAGCTAAAGAGGAAAAAAGCACCCGGACTAGGGGATATACCCGGAGAATTGTTTAAGTACGGAATGAACGAATTGTACGAATGTCTTCGACAACTATTTAAGGAATGCATAAACACAAGCGAAATTCCTACGGAATGGAAGATATCATCCCTCAGGTATACATAAAAAGGGTAATAAAAATAATTGTGAAAATTACCGAAGAATAGCTGTAACCGGATCTATGAGTCGAGTATATGGAAAGGTTTTAAAGAACCGCATCGAGAGAGAATACTTAGATTATGAAGCAGAAGAACAAATAGGATTTTATATGAGAATCAAGAGATTCATATGTTGTTCGTCGATCTACGGAAAGCCTACAACAGCGTTCCACAGAAAAAGCTGTGGCAATTAGTGGAATGCGCGAATATTAATATAGAATTAATTAAAGCCGTCAATGTGCTATAAAACCAACCAATAACAAAAATAAAAGCAGGAACATAAATAACAACAGGATTTATAACATCAAAATGATTTAAGCAAGGGGGTTGTCTTTCCCCCACCTTATTTAAAATATGCCTCGAAAGTGCTTTAAAAAGATGGAAACAAAAATGCAGGACAATGGCGATACCGCTGACAAACACGCTCAACTTTGCAGATGATCAAGTAATAATGGCTTAAGATTATGACGATTTAAACTATATAGAACGAAAACTAATTAAAGAGTATGATATATGGGGTCTAGAAGTTAATAAAAAGAAAACCGAATATCTGTGCATTGGAGTTGAACAAAATGATCTCATATTAGACGATAACACCACAATAAAGCACTGCTGTAACTATAAATATCTAGGTATTAATATTACACAAGATGGAACATTAGACAAAGCCATAAGAGAGAGAAATACGTCAGGAAGAAAAGTCATCACAATGTTAAACAACATTTTATGGGACCAATCCATTAGCAAAGAAAATAAAAAGAGAATATATGAGACTTGATGGAGTTTTCTCCGATTTCCACCAATTGTTGTGGGGAAAGCTTATTAAATTCCTTTCCCCGTGCGTGTACAGTTCCAAATATTTTAGGACCATGGACTGTACAAGAGTGTTTCCTTCGATATATGCAAGCAGAACTTCAAGGCGCTGGTTCTTTATGTGTTTGATTTAATAGGGGTTGTACTTAGAGAAAAATAAGCGTAATTAATTGAATCTACACATTTAATAACAAGAGAATATTTACACAACCACTAATACTAATGAAAGAGTTCGCTTTAAAACATAGTCCATTATTCTATCGGCGTTTAGGGGCGCGCGAGCTATCGCGAAAACAAATACACATTTCACTGCATTTTGGCGGCGAAGAGAGAGATTAGGTACCGGCGGTACCGCACAGTTTGAGACTCTAGTCACATCTGCGAGAGATTTTGAATTGAATCTTTACCTAAAATTTCCGACAAGGTCGGCGTCAGTTTTACCACTCAAACAACCCTTATAAGCTATTTATGGCACAAATATTTTGCAGGCAAAAAGTACAGTCTGTAGCATAAAATCCAAACTAATATTTGTGAGAACTAAAAATTATACTAAAATTAATATAAAATGTTGTTTTTACAACATACTCGCCCCCGTTGAAGCGCTGGCTTTAACACAAATAAACAGATAACATTACGACAAGAGAGCACGAGGAAGAGAAAATACACTACAATTCTAATCTTATACTAACTTAATTTAAATCGTCATTGGGTAGAGGACACAATTTGGTAATAGAGCGCTTGAAGACTCCATCTTTAGTTTTGACCGAGGCAATTCTTACTCTCCCATCCTTTCCTGGAAAGACCTCAATCACTCTTGCTAGTACCCAATAAAGAGGAGGAGTGTTGTCTTCAATCAACAAGACGAGATCGTTGGGTTCTAGGTTCTTATGCGGAAGAAACCATTTGGGGCGATTTTGAAGTCTGTTCAAATAGTCGATAGACCATTTTTTCCAAAACACTTGTTGGAGTTTGGACAAATGCTGCCATAAATTTAGTCTGTTTTCGGAAATGTGGATCACATCTTTTTCAGGGAATGAGGTGAGAGATTGTCCAATCAAGAAGTGTCCAGGAGTAAGATAAGTAAAATCAGAGGGGTCATTTGAAAGGGAGCAAAGAGGCCGGGAATTGAGCACAGCTTCAATTTGAACGAGGACTGTGGTGAATTCTTCGAAAGTAAGCTTAAGATTTCCCAGGAGTCTACGCATATGATGCTTTGCGCTTTTAATAGCACTTTCCCAAATACCACCATGATGAGGGGCTCGAGGAACTATAGTTTTCCAGCGAATATGGGACGAGGCCAAAAATTCTTGAATACAACGGGAGCTTTCCTTTTCCTTTAAAAACTTATAGAGTTCAAACAGCTGGTTACGAGCACCAAGAAAGTTCGTAGCGTTGTCACTGAATATTGTCTGAGGGAGGCCCCTACGACTAATAAAGCGTTTTAGAGCGAGAATAAACGTCTCTGTAGAAAGGCCAGAGACGACTTCAATATGAACAGCTCGAGTCGACAAGCAAACGAAAAGAGCAATATACGATTTTATTAAAGGAGCCTTGCGAAGTTTGGAAGCCTTTATCTGAAAGGGACCGCCAAAATCTAATCCAACATGAGTGAATGCTCGAGAGGAATTTAAACGTTCCTTTGGCAAATCTGCCATAATCTGGGTAGCGGGTTTGGCACGAAACTTAAAACAAACCATACATTGGTGAATGACCTTTTTGACTTCTCGTAGTCCATTTAAAGGCCAATATTTGAGACGAATTTGGGACAGAGTATTTTGAGGCCCTGAGTGACAAAGTCTGACATGTTCTCTGTGAAGAATGAGACGAACTATACGATTTTTTGAGGGAAGGAGAAGGGGGTATCTTTGATCAAAGGTAACGTCTGAGTTTCCAAGGCGACCTCCTACACGGAGCATTTCATTCTCATCCAAAAAGGGATTTAGGGGTAACAGACACTTATTAGTTAGAGTTTTACCTTTCTTAAGCTCAGAAATCTCACTCGAGAAGTTGGAATACTGGAGCATTTTAATAATCTTAAGTTCAGCGTTTTGAAGTTCGTTGACTTCAAGGGTATCCGTTAACTTGCGAGAAAGCGGTTTAGCATTATTAACAAATCTAAACATATAGGCTAAAGTTCTTACAAACTTTGAAAAATTAGAGAACCTATCAGAAAGGGAGGTGAAAAAATCTATTGTATCATTACGAGCATGAAGAATGACTTTCCTTTCTTCAGGCAACTTGGAGGTATAACCCTTTGGGTTGTATTTTAATAAATCCAAACGCAGTTGATTTAAAAATGGAGGACCATGAAACCACAAGGAAGAGTTTAATATCTCAGAGGGTAACATTCCTCGGGAGAGTATGTCGGCAGGATTCTCTTTGGATCGTACGTGCCTCCAGTGAGCATCAGGGGAATTATCTAAAATTTGTGCGACCCTATTTGCTACAAATTGGGTCCAACGAGAAGGGTGTGAACGAAGCCAAGCGAGAACAATTTCTGAATCCGACCACATATTTATAGAGTCTAATCGAGATAATTTTTCTTTAACGATGTTAGCAATCCTTGATGTGAGTTTACTACACAACAGCGCACCCATGAGTTCCAATCTTGGAAGGGTCAAGGGTTTTAGCGGAGCAACGCGACTCTTAGATGCTAGAAGGGAACAAGACACCTGTTCTGATTTATAGGTCACACTTAAGTAGATACAAGCTCCATAAGCCTTTAAACTTGCATCTGAGAATGAGTGAACCTCAACACCAGTAATTTCTTGACTCAAAAAGAGACATCTTGGTATACTTAAGTCCTTAAAATGAGAGAGACTGCTAATAAAACTTAGCCATTCATGTAACGTATCTGCGTCAATGGTATCGTTCCAACTGATTTTGGATATCCAGATTTTCTGCATTATAAGTTTAGCGACAACTGTAACGGGATTAATAAGACCTTGAAGATCAAATATTTGGGCAATCATTGACAGTACTTCTCTTTTAGTATATGATTTCTTTAGGGTGAAATCTGGAAGAGAGATTGAAGACGTGTCAAGAACAGGATTCCAGCATAAACCTAAAACCTTATTAGAGCAATTATCTGGAGCTATGACATAAGAAGAGTTCGAAGAGAGAGAAGAAATATTTTTTAGAAACAAGTCCGAGTTAGAACACCATTTATGTAGAGAAATACATGCTGTTCCAAGCAAACTAGTTATTTCCTTATGAGCTTTGAGAAGAGTTTGCTCATCATTAGCACCATAGAGAATGTC